AAGTGGTATCAGAGCACACTCTGAAAAAAGAATGGCTGAATCCGATGAGGAAGAGACTAGCCACAATCGGAACAACAAACTTTTGATTGAAGCTATGAAGAAAATGATGAACACCGAATTGGAAGCTTTTCGCCAAGAGTTTCATCAGAATTTAAGATCTCCAAGGAGAAGCCAAGAGCAGCATGAGCAGATCATGTATCAAAAAGATGCAAAACCAAGGCGACCCCAGGAGAAACCTAATTGGAGAAGCAGATCAACCAAAGATCAAGCAAAAAGTCACTACCACAGTCGTGATGATCAAAGACGTGTTGAGAAAGCTACACCGCAACATAATGATGTGAAAGAAGTTAAGGCCGTGAAGCAAAGCCAAAAGGAAAGTCTAGCCTTAGCAAAAGAACAGTTCGAGGATGAACTTCTGAAGATTCTCAATGCTTACAACAAACCCAAGAAAGCTAAGCTTGCTCTTCCTTCTAAATTTGTGAAAGATATGTGTGATCTTTTTGAGAAACCTGATTTTGTGCAAAAAAATGATAAACCTTGTGAAAAACTAATCCTTTCCAAGCCGGTGCAACCGAGTAGTACTTTTTGTTTCTCACAGGTTATGGAAGAAAAATCTCAGGAAGAAGTTCAAAGGAGTTTGCCATCGATTGTTACTAATTTGGAGCAGCAAACTATCTTTCTTCCTGAACCAATCCTTGAGTCAAATGAGCACCATCAAAAGCACTGTAAGGAAATTGATTTGGTTACAAAAAAGCCTAATGTGTTTGTTTTGCTTTCTACTCAAGATGAAAAACGATTTGGTTTGGAAAATGTGAAAGAATTTCATGTTTCAAAATCTGTTTTTGACAAAATGATTCCAACCTTTGAAACACTCACACTTGAAAAGCTCTTTAAGCCAAAACATTTTCTGTTTGATGAGTTTCTTGAATTTAACTCTTCTTTGAGAATTTCTTTTTGTAGCAATGCATTTGAGCTGTTTAGAACTAAAACCGAAAATGCATTGGTTAAAATGTTTTATGAGTTGTATGAATCAAATCCGTTCAATAAGCTTTGCAAACCAACACTGAAGGATTGTGTTTTTGAATTCTCTATTTCAAGTATAATGCATTTGTTCTGTCCCATGAGTGCTCAAAAAGGATCAGGAGCCGTGGAGAAGTATAAGTACTTAGGAGAAGTGACATCAAGGAAAGATACATTCAAGGTTCCACTCCATATCCAGGACGACTTGAGAAGAGCTGAAGAAGCACTGGACATATTGGCAATCAAAGAAAAGCCGCCGGATTTGCAGCAGCCTCAATCCCTTTACAAAGAAGCCAAACAAGGAACCATGAGTGGAATTGGAGAATTTACTCAACCTGAAGCAGTTCTGGAAAACAATCAAGTACCTAGAGTTGAATACAGTATTGTGATAAAGGAGAAACCACCAGATGCTACACCACCAATTAAAATTCGAGGTAATTATCTAAACTCCCAAAAACGAATGAAAGCTAATTTGCTTTCTCTTGGTGAAGGTTGCACAATTTTGTGGCCAACCAAGAAGACTAATGATCGAGAGATAAGCAATCATCATCGGAGTAAATCAAGAGATCCTCGTGAAGATTATCAAGATTCATTTTGGCTAAAGCACGTGGAGGAACGCATAGGCAAGCAATCAAATTTCTTTGTGAGGGATGGTGATATTAAGAAAGTTGTGTTATCAAAACACCAATTACTATGGTTTAATTATAAGGAAGCTCTCATGAGCTTGACTAACCCTGCACCGGTGCTGCCGAGTGAGATGATGTCTCTTTTGCAGGAATATGAGGACATGTCCTCGGAGAATAAACCTATAGGACTACCACCCATACATGATGCATCTCAAAGTCACGTTTGGAGACCGGGAGATTATCTAGGACGTTCATGTCCTACACCACATGAGATTTTGGTCACTTTACTTCACATGTTTCCCAAGGAGCCTAAAATGGATCTTTCTTCATTTGGTTCTTTCCATACCTACCAATGGCGACCAGGAGAGTTGTTAGATAGCTCTAGAGAGGAGGAGTTGGTCACCAACAATGCCTTGATCAAAGAAGAACCCCCGGATCCAACACCACTTCCATTAACTGTGATGATATCAAGCACCGAACACACCGCGAACCTTATTCAGGTAAGTAACTCTTTAACTCAATTTGTTTCTAATGTTTTAAGAACTGTTACTATGATTTTATCACATTTAGGAAACATTGAGAAAGAGTTAGATTTATTTAAAGAATATTTGGAACCAAATTATTGTCTAAGAACACAAGTAAAACATGAACATTTCAAGGATAATGCATTGATCAAAGCTGAGCCATGTTTACTTGTTTATAGTGATTCCATGACTGTGATAACGCACTTGCTCTTTGCAAAAGCTGTTGACAATATTTCAGGTACAAAAGAGGAGCCACTGGACATAGAAGTTCTCTCGTCCAATCTCTTTGAGAGGACTGGAATTGGAGTTGTTTTGATGCCAAAGATCGATTCTCCATCCAACCTAACAAGAAGAACAAACGACAATGCTTATGAACTTGAGCTGCAAGGTAAGTGTAATGTGAGTTCCAGTTTCAATGTTTCTAACTTAGTTCTTTTCAATGCAGACAAATCGGATTTGAGGTCAAATCCTTTTCAAGAGGGAGAGGATGATATGATCCTACCGAGCACAACGGACATGGAACTTGAGGAAGGACTTGAACCTGAGGAGCAGCTTGAAGCAGGGAAGCAGCTTGAACCTGAGGAGCATTTTGAACTAAAGAATGAGCTTGTAGCGGAGAAAGAGTATGGAAAGGATGTTATCTTAACCTCACTGGTTTTGATATATGATCATCAAATGGGCATGTGTCTCATTTGTACTCTTTTTCCCTTGTCAAGTTTTGTCCCAATGGGTTTTCTTGACAAGGTTTTTAATGAGGCAAATGATTCACATTCAAATCACCCATTTGTTGATCCAGCCCATGGAATAACATTCAGAAATCTATCCCATGGAATATATATGGAGTCCAGCCCATTTCATGGCCATTACAAGTCCAAGAAGAACCCAAACCAAGTGCTTAATTTGATGGTCAAGAGGAGTGACGAAAATAGGAGTTCAAGAGTCATCTTTGAAGCCAAAGGGGCTTTTCTATTCAAATTCTATCTTTAATATTTTGTTAAGTTTCTAGGCAGCCTAGGAGCTTGTTCCAAGACTTGTCTCTCTACATTCTCTTCTCTCCTTCTTCTCTATATATTCTCTTGTAATCTCTTATGAGAACCTATCTTTCTTTTTATCAAAAACCTTTTTCTAAGAAGATCATCTTGTTGGTGTGTATATCCAGCAAAACCCTTAGTCTCTTTTGGTGCGTATATCCAAAGGATCTAAGTTTCGGTATCGTGAAGTTCTTCCGCAAACTTCTGTGATATCCATCGATCCATTCTCTCGTTTTTGAGTCGTGTGTCGTCTCTAACTCGAGATCATCTATCCATCATCACGGCTTCACAGCCACCTCTATCCCTTGCTCAACTTTAGAGTGCCGAGTCCTCGGGAGGATCGTGTCACCATATATGAGGCTGACCCTGGTTTTCAAGAAGTTTACAAGGAGACCAGCAAAGCCGCTTATGGAGTTTACTATCAACACGATGGGTACCTATTCAAGGATAAGAGACTGTGCATTCCTCAAGGCTCTATGAGGGAGTTACTCGTCAGGGAAGCCCACGGAGGAGGACTCATGGGGCATTTTGGAAGAGACAAGACCTTGGGTGTACTCATGGATCACTTTTACTGGCCGCGGCTGAAGAGGGACGTCGAACGGTTCTGTTCCAAGTGCATCACATGCCTAAAAGCAAAATCCAGATCACACCCTCACGGCTTATATATGCCTTTACCTATCCCTAACCTACCATGGGTAGATATTTCCATGGATATTGTTCTAGGTCTACCCAAGATCAACAATAAGGATTCCATCTTCGTAGTAGTCGATCGGTTCGCAAAGATGGCTCACTTCATTCCATGCAACAAGACCAACGATGCAACACAAACTGCTGATTTATTCTTCAAGGAGGTAGTACGTTTGCATGGAGTACCAAGGAAAATCGTGTCAGACCGAGAAACAAAATTTTTGAGCCATCTTTGGAAGACCCTGTGGAGGAAGCTAGGGACTAAACTACTTTTCTCCACCACCTGCCACCCTTAGACCGATAGACAAACAGAGGTAGTAAACCGTACTCTCTCGACCCTATTGAGAGCGACGGTGGGTAAGAATCTGCGAAATTGGTTAACATGTTTACCTCATATAGAATTTGCTTATAATCATGCGAAACATTCGTCCACTAAATTGTCTCCATTTGAGGTTGTCTATGGGTTTAACCCTGAAACACTAGTAAACGTCTCACCTTTGCCCCAGCCTGTTTACTCTAGTGCAAAAGGAGAGACAAGAGCGGATTTCATTAAGAAACTCCACCAATGAGTTAAAGACAGTCTCGAGAAGAAGAGCGAAAAGAATAAGCAACACACAAACAAGAATCGCAAGGAGGTTACATTTGAACCGGGAGATTGGGTTTGGTTGCACATGAGAAAGGAAAGGTTTCCCAAAGAAATAAAGTCTAAACTGTCACCAAGAGGAGATGGACCATTCCGAGTACTCGAGAAGATCAATGACAACGCCTACAAGCTGGAATTACTAGGTGAGTTAACGATCTCTCCTACATTCAATGTAGCTGATTTATCTCCTTACAATGCGGATGAGCCAGTTTTAAGGTCAGAACCTTCTCAAGAGGGAGGGAATGATGAGGCCATCGACCTAAGCTCAACCGAGACCAGCAATGAGGTTACCATACCAACGATGAGACATGCACCACGGACAAGGTCTGGAACGAGGAGCTTAAGGGAGGAGTTCAATAAGTCAATAGAGAGCTTGATCACTCTCATAGAACATGAAGAACTGAAAGGGAAGCTACTCACCAATGAGATCACCCGCGAGACACCACTTGAGCCTCAAAGTGAACCAAGTGCCGTAAGGACTCAAACCATGGATACTGAGCTGGAAAACAACAATGTCGAGCTTGGAGAACCACAAGAGAGAGAGCGTCAAAGGAAACCAAGGAGTTAGTTACTTGCAGCTCAAGACTCAAGCTGCTTCTTTCTTACCGGTTTTGCAAGGAACTAGAGATGCGACCTTGTTCACCATCAACAAATCGTCCCAGGGAGGAGTGGAGCTTATACAGGCGTAAGAGCAGCCCAACAGTGGCCTCACGCACCTACAGGCCCAAGGTAAGCCTTTAGATTCGATTTCTAATAAGTTTCCTTTTTCTGTTTTGCAGGATTTCCTTCTTCTAGTCTTTTGTAGTTTTTTTTAGAAAGTCCCAGCGTTTGTAGTTTTGAGTCTTGAAGTGTCTACTGTTTTTATGCTTTCCTTATTTGTAATTTTCCGCCTAAGAAGCCCTAAGCTGCAAAGCTATTTATAAAGCTCCTTCTCAGCTTGGAACAGACACCTTTTGATGAAATAAAGACCTAGCATTTTCTTAAGAGAAAACGCAGCCGCCCTTGAACCCTTGTGTGCGAATCCTTGTGTTCTTGAGCGTTCCAGACTTATCACAACTTATTCCCATCAGTTGTGTGGCGTCATTCACTCGCCTGGTTACGAATTATCACTTCATCTCTACCGAATCTCTCAAGAGTGCTGTACGGCCCTTGTTGATTTTCCATCTCATCATCAACACTTTATCTCATCCACTGGTTGACAGGAGAAGCGTACGCTTCCCAGGCTTCCCCATCGTATCACCACTCGACTGTCTAGATCGAGCCCGTAGGTCGAGCCAGTCGTCCGCAGCATCCGTCCTCCCACTCGACCCTTCTAGTCGAGCTAGTAGATCGAGTCAGCCCGTCTGCATCGCCAAGCTTACTTTGTTTGTCACACTCGACCATTCTGGTCGAGTCAGTAGGTCGAGTCAGTCCACCTCCACAGCTCCACTCGACCGTCAGGTCGAGCTAGTTGGTCGAGTCAGTCCTTTCTGCTACTCTGAGCCTGTATCACAATTCCTTAAAGCACTATCATGTCATTGTAGTATTAAGGTGTCAATCTAATAGGGTGAGATGCTACCAATCAAGATGTGATCAGAAGTCACAGAGTCAAGCCAAGCATAAACAGGTTTTTGAATTTCTAACAATCCTAAGTGATCATGCGGAAAACCAAAAATCTAGCAAAAACCAGAAATATACTCGACCAACACTGGCTGTTTGCCAGGCATTGGGTGTGGTTGAGTATTTTGAAGAAGATTAGACAGAAAATGCAACAGCTATACTCGACTGCACAGTCTGTTACCAGACAGTGGGTGTGGTCGAGTATACAAGTAAAACAGACGGGAAATGCAAAAACTTTGCAACATGCAATAAGAACAAGCACATAATAGTAATGTAAGCAGAGAAATCAAATGGATGAGAAATTTCTAAGGATGGGATAATCGAGTAGCAAAATCTCCTTAGCCTATCAGGTGGTTAACATGCTTAACAAAGTATCTCTAGACAACAAGTTCAAAGACGTATCAAAGCAACACCGCAATAGAGACCCTCAAGCTAAGCTAGTTCCAGACTCAATCACCATTGACGAAACCTAACATAGCAGGGATTATGAATCAACAAGTTAAAGCCAAAACGCGCTCTGAAACTAACACCTTGGTACAGAGACACAAATCTCTGGAATTAGTGGTTCAGGAATTTCATCAAACACCTTGTGGGTGCGGAAATGCCTGGGCTCAAATTCCAGTTGATTAGAAACCAATTAGCATTAAGAACGACTAATCCAGAAGGGATCTACCAATCAGACTTAACCACCTAATAGATTAAGGAACCTAAACTACCCTAACCCATCCTTAAGAACCCTTATCACTACTCAATAAACATCATCAAGAACACAAACCCAGAAATCTCTAAAAACTTCATCACTTAAAGATCTCAACAAGATAAACAATTTTAAAGAAGGAATCAAATGCAAAAACTGAATAGATTCAGAATAATTTGGATTACAAATTTCTGGAAAAACTAATTTTTCAGCGCATTACAGCTTAATTCTCTGGGCAAAGAGAAACACCTATTTATAGTAAATACTAGGAAACCCTAAAACACAAGACGACAAAATTCTAAGGCGGTTTAAGGAGACCACTCAACCCATGCGATCGAGTAAAGGAGGTCGAGTAAAGCTGACACCTTTGTGAATTCTTGCTCTGGTCGAGATGCGGTCAAGTGTAGAGGTCGAGTGTCAGTCAGGTGATTGCTTCATCCTCTTCTCTTCCTTGTGCTCAAATTGTCTTGAGTGCGGATTTGAGAAGACTCTGATGCATGTGGTCAAGTATGGAGGTCGAGTGACTTAGGAGTGAGATGGCTGAGGGTACTCGACCAACTTGGTTGAGTACCCAGTCGAGTTATTGATTCAGTGTTGCAGCTGGCTTGGTCGAGTGAAACATGAGGCTTGGTCGAGTGTTTTGGAGATGACTTGGTCGAGTGTTCAGGAGATTTGGTCATGAATGTACTCAACCAACATGGTCTAGTGTCTTCTTGATTCCACCTTTCTTCTCCCAATGTGCTCTCCGAATGGCATCCTTCTATACGCGTACGTTCCATAGGGACAGGTGAAAGTCGTCTTCTCCTGGTCGTCCGGATGGATTGGTACCTGAAAGAAACCAGAATAACCATCTAAAAAACAGTAAAATTAATGGTTAGCTAACCTTTCAAGCATTTGATCAATAAAGGGTAAAGGAAAGTGGTCCTTTCTAGTCGCGGCATTTGATCAACAGTTTCATAATCTCCTTCTTCACGACATCTTTCAGGTTCGGGTTTAACCTCCTATGATGCTCGATCGAGTTCTTTGCTCCTTCTTCAAGGTGAATCCTGTGCATATAAAGGTCTGGGGATATACCTGGAATGTCTTCAAGGGAATATCCCAATGCTTTCCTATGCTTCCTCAGCTCGGAGAGGAGCATAGCGGTCTCCTTGCTATCTAAACCAGAGTTAATGATAATAGGATAAGTACAATTAGGGCCAAGAAAAGCGTACCTTAGCCCAACAGGGAGTTGCTTGAGCTCCACTTTCAGGGCTCTTAGCTCACTCCAAGGATCAGCTACAGCGGACGGTGTGTCCTTAGGAGGCGCGGGTTGGCTACTCTCCTTGTCTAGATCGAGATATGCTACGAGTCTCGTGTAACATTCGGTTGAATCAAGGATCTTCGCCGAGTTTTCCACGGACTCCATGAGACATAATCGTCCTTAGCTTCCATCAAAGCTATCTCCATAGGATCGTCGAGAATGATTTCTTCACATAGCTCGCTTGTGGCTTCCTCCACTTTATCAACAGAGAAGACTTGATTATGAGATGAGGCTTGCTTTAGCGTCTCATTCTTATCAAACTTCATCACAAAGTCGCCGAGATGAAGATCGATCTTTCCATTAGGAACATCGATAATGGCTCCTTCGGTAGAGAGGAAAGGGCGACCAAGGATCAATGGATCCTTAGGTTCCTTCTCAACCTCCAACACAACGAAATCTGTAGGGATTTGGCACTCTCCAATAGTGATCGGAATGTCTAGGAGAACTCCGATTGGACGACGTACAGATCGGTCCGCGAGGACTAATGAGATCTTCGTCGGCTTGAAAGAGTGGTATCCCAAGTGTTTAGCAGTCGATAGTGGCATCATATTGATACTTGATCCCAAATCGCATAGACAACGCTTAAAAACTTCTTCACCAATAGTACATGACAACACAAAACTTCCCGGATCACCTCGTTTCTGTGGACTCCGGTTTTGTATTATCGCACTACAGTCTTGAGTAATCATCATTACTCCGTCTTCAAGGCTGATGTTGTTGGTCATTATACTCTTCATGTACTTCCTAAGAGTAGGAATCATGGCACAAGCTTCAACAAAAGGTAGTCTTACCGTTAATTGCCCGATTAGCTCTCTTAGCTTAGCTCGTTCTCTTTCCTTCTTTGAAGTCTTCGAGGCATTAGGGTAAGGCACCTTAGGTTGATAGACACGTTCAGGTCGTAAGGGAGGAGTAGTTATAATTCCCTCACGATTCAGCGGCTCGTCGCCTTCATCTCCTCCGGCGGTTGTGTGACCGGGCTGGTCAGTAGGGGCGCCACCTGTCAGGTGGCTCGTGACCGGTCTTGGCTGTAGGTGATATATCACGGATTTTACCTATTTTAGCCGTGATATATGTATTGATTTTAGAGTCTTTTTGTTGTTTTTAGTGTCTTTTTGAGTCTTTTCAGGTTTATACACGTTCGGAGCCAATCCGGAGACAAAAATACGTGTAGGTGTCGATCGACACCACCCCTGGTGTCAGTCGACACCAAGATCTGACGGCAATTCAAAGACGCGTTTCTTTGAAGTTATGAAGATTTGCAGATTCGCCCCAGAACTTCTCCCTATTTTCAAAGAAGTCCCTGCACGTTTTTAAGAACATATAAATAGATTCTTAAGGTCATTGTTTAGACCTAAGCTTTATTTTACTTTGTTCTTGGGAGCTTGAACCCTTTGGAAGATAATTGGAGAGAGCTCCTCCAGAAAAGATCTTTCTTAACTCATCTCTTTTATTGAATTTCTTTATGCTTTCTATTCATAACATGTTGTTTGTTTCAATCTCCATGTCTGAGTAGTTTGCTTGTTAGGTTTAGGGATTCTCATTAGGGATTTAGATGAATTAGTAGATCGATAACCTGTTAGGATAATATCTTTAGAGTTCTTCATCTTTGATTGTTCTTCATCTTTGATTGTTCTTAATGCTAATTCTAGAGTAATTAACTAGAATTTGATAATTGGATAATAGGTAGATTCGAGAGGTCATCTATTACTGGAACTATCTTAGGTGGGCAGAAATTACTAGATTCATACGAGAGGTGGTCTAGGAATATCTGTGAACAAATCAAACTTGTTATTAATGCTAGTCTAATTCTAGGAGTTTACATTCGAAAGGTGGAACTTCCTGATATTAGGTTTAGTTAATCAATTCATACGAGAGGTGGTTGGCTATACATTAGTGATTTGAGTTATAGAACGGTTCGTTAATAATCCTAATTAATTTGCTAGATCTACTATTTATTTATTTCTTGAGAAATCCCTAAGTCTAACGTTTTCCAATCTGATTTACATCTCGATTGTAATTACTTGTTTTATTTTAATTTGCAATCTTTACTTGTTTAGCTTAATTCAAAACCTATTAGTCTATTGTGTGAACACGAGAGCTTTGTGGAATTCGACCCTAAAGTACTGCAATTGATCTCTTATTTGAGAGAGTAGTCTTAGGTCTTAATTTGACTCACATCAAATTTGGCGATGTTGCCGAAGTTCTCTTCACTTCACCATTAGATTAGGATTAGAATTTAGTCTAAGCTTTTGTTTTTTTTTTTTTTTATTTACTAACGCTTTCTCTTTTATTTTTCTTGTGTTTCAGGTGTTTGTCTAATCACAGAACCGGAAACAAGCAAAGAACATGAACGAGAGTAAGATTGCTGGGTTAATGGCTAAGCTTGACGCAGTCCACAATCTACTTGTGGAGGATGTCGATTATGTTGGTGGAAGAGGTTTTCAAAATCAGAGATTTAAACACCAACAAGGGTACAAAGGTTTCTATGGAAATGGTCCAACTAGCCACACTCAGAAGTCTCAGTTCCAGCAACCGTTTCAGAATAGCAGTAGTTTCAGCTTCACAAGGAACTATGATCTTGCTTCTTACCAAGCCCCCCCTCCACCCGCACGAAGAAGCAAGATATAATCAATGCTGGAACAGATTCTGGAAGGTCAGCAAAAGATCTTAGAGACACCTCTCCCTAGATGGACTGAGAGCAGCCTCACGACTTCTTGGCATGCTGCTTCGATGGAAAGTGAATATGAGTTCGTGACCGTTGAGGAGAGTGACGAATTTGATGTTGCAGAGGCAGTATCGACCGACACCACCTTCTGGTGTCGATCGACACCAACACATATGTACGAGACATCATGCTGTGACGAAGCAAAATCGACCAGGCTCGACATTGATCTCCAGAACCGCTCGACACACATTGATAGTGTCGACCGACACTACCTGGGTGTCGATCGACACCAATATCAAAATGAGGAAGTGTCGACGTTTGACGGAGCAGAATCGACTGAGATTGACAGAGCAGGATCAACACCAGACAGTAGTGTCGACCGACACTCACCTAGTGTCGATCGACACTGGCCACAGACTGCACCATTTATCCTTGGGTCGGGGCTCTCCATTCGGGCTAGTCCCGAGGGTACCTGAAAAGAAGAAGAAAAACTCAAAGTAAAACTGAAAATAAAATGCAAAAACAAAAAACTAAAAAGCGTCCTAGAAAGATATCCTAGTCCTAAATTCGTAGGTAACTTAAATAAGTCCCCGGCAACGGCGCCAGAAAGCTTGATGCATGTTTTATTTCGCCTCAAAGTTTTCCCTTAGAGACTACACGAAATACTGCAAGTGCACAGTTAATCAATTGTAGTATTTAAGGATCGATCCCACAGAGACTTATAAGTACGATACGAATTCAATGGAAAGGAATATGTCTAAGACAAACAAAAGAGAGGGGTTTGGTTTTTGGGTTGTCACAAAACTAAACAGAAAATAAAAGCTAATTAAACGATTAAGGTTATCAATAAACGAGACGTTGGGCTTCAAGAATTTTTCAGGGTATCACGGATCGGGTTATTCTAGGGTTTTAAACAAAGGTAAACCTATGCTTATTAAACAGTTCATGAACTACGAAACACTTATATAAAACCGTTTGGTTTATGACCAAACGATTATCTAAGTCTAACAACTCCGTTACTAAACTAACGCATGCAACGACGAGATTAGACCAGCATGATTAACGAGTTCGATTTTAGTTAAAGCCCTATAACTAAGTGGTGTGTGCTTGTTATAACACGATACTCACATCTAGGCTAGTGAACGCGGATCTATACACTTGTGATGCATAAACCTACCTATGATCAATTGCAAGTTAGCTATTCAAGCAATATGCATTAAGAACAAACCTCTGGAGCTTCGAATCTGTCCTGAAACGGGTTTTGCTCGTCTTTTGGTCCATTTTGCTTGGAAACTCGTAAAACCTTCTTGGCTTCATAAATACTTGAATATCTCCTCTTTAGCCTTGAAATCACACCAAACACTTCCTAAAACATCATAAAACAATAACAAATATGGGCGAAAATCCCATGTTATCAACTGCCACTCTTAATGGGCCCCACGTCCTCTCTCGACCCGTGGGCCCACCATATAAGTGCACTTTGGTGACATAGATGGCCAAATCAATTCTTTTAAACCTCTCTGCATGCACCACCATATTCCTGAAACCGGGGTGCTACAATTCACCCCTCACTAACATATCGCAACATCCTCGTTGCTCACCAAGACGGTCACCCCCTACGATGTGAGCCCTCTTGAATCCACACTCGTCTGGGTTCGGCTCTGCTACCACTTGTAACGCCCCGAAAATTCAAAAGAATTTTTGAAGCATTACTAAAACATGTAATAAAAATACTAAAATTTTTATAACGTATAAAGTTGAAGTCTCGTAAACACTCCAAATCTCAAAAGCAAAATAAATTAAACTTTGGAAAATCTACCAAGTCTCGCTCTACGACTGAAAAACAAACTCTAAACCTCAGCTGCATGCTTCTCCTCCTCAATACCCTCTGCACGGAATCAGAACTTATGTGAGCGAAAAATCGCTCAGTGAGACTACAAACCCGACGAACAAGCACCAACACTGTCTTATCCCGCATACATAAATAATGTTCACGTGTTTGTACCAACATACATAAATTCCAATTTAATTACATATAAATAAAATAAATCACGACAGATCATATACTACCAGAAATACTTAATTAAATCATTAGACAAAATAATATCATCAGACAGAATAATAACATCAGAACAGAACGACCAGGTATCCAGCAATGCAATATCGGAATGGTACAACCCCAACATTGGTCGACCCAAACCATATACTAACAGAATATTTACATAATATACTCGATAGGGATGTTGGCCCCTAACGAGGTGATAAGGAAGTACAGTCCACGGCATTAACCGACCTCAATATCACTAACAGAATACGGAATACATATGTTGGCGATGCCGGCCGCCACAGATTGCTCAATAGAGCTAGCTAAATCAGAAAAGCATGCTGATACCGGTCTTAACAGAATAACATATTTCATCATTAGAATCATATTCAAAATAACAACACTAAAACAAATACAAAATTTTCAGAATTCAAACATACAAGTAATTCGTATCTTCTTTCTATCATATTCCTAAATATTATACAAATGTATAATAACTAATAAGGGAGTTAGAACTCACCTGGAAAGATTTTCGGACTGAAAGAGTGGTTAACGGCAATTCTAGATATGTCCCAAACCACCAATTAATTTATCTAAAATCAACCGTCTATCTGAAAAATCCGTAAAATATAACATCGGAAAGATAATTTCAAGATAAATCATAATCAGGTATTAGATTCCCCAAACCGGTTTAAAAGCAGCCGAATCGGTCCGAATTACGATCGGTTAAAATTCAAAACTCAACGAATTTAAAATTCGATTACAAGCGAGTATTCTACACAGACAGGCCATCCCAAAACCGGTTTCAAAAGTTCAAGAACCAGTGTAACTAAATCCCGATTTGACTATGAATCAACAAAATCGAAATATTTACGAATCAGATTACGATCAATTCCGACATCCGTTTGATGAGATCTCAGTGGCGTTAGATCCGTATGAACGAGAGCTTTCTAAAAAGGTATAGCTCGAGTCCTAATTCCTCCTGAAACAAAATCCACTTCTAAAGAGCTTGAAGCTCACTTCCATGGAAGAAAATTGGAGAAGGAAGAAGAAGAAACTTACCACACTTTCCTATCAAAGCTGAAATTAACCCAGAACTAGTGCACTAATACGGAGAAGCTCAATCAACCTAAGCCACGGTAAAATCAGTTCACAAGTTGCCGAGAAATATTCAAATCGGAGATTGTGAAGAATAGACTCGAAAACTCACCAAAAATCTCAAGTTGACAACAAAATCGGCTTCCAAATCTTTGGGGCTTAGAAACTCATATAAATAAGGGTATTAGGGTTGAAAAGATGAACACTACAAAAAAAGGTCATTTTACATCATTTATTTTTAATATTTGTATTATTTATAAATGATGTAAACGACTTTTGCATCACTTAAAAAAGTGACTCCGAAAGTGGTGATGTAAATAATTCGCATCAATTTATTATTAACCGATGCTAATTCCTATAATATTTACATCGATTATTGTAATCGATTGCAACATGTATCATTTGTAAAAAACTGATGCTAACATTTTCATCAATTAATTTAACTGATGTTAGTTTTTACATCACTTACTTAAACTGATGTAAAATTAGTGTCAATTTTTATAAGTGATTTTAATAATTGTATCATTTACAAGTACTGATATAACATATTACTATCACTTGTACGTAATTGATGTAAAATTAGTGTCAATTTTCAGAAGTGATTTTAATAATTGTATCATTTACAAGTACCGATTTAAGAAATTACTATCACTTGTATATAATTGATGTTATATTAGTGTCAATCTTTAAAAGTGATTGAAACGATTGTATCATTTACAATAACCGATTAAAAGTATTATCATCATTTGTAAATAACTAATGTAAAATTAGTGTCAATTTCATGTGATTATAATAATTATATCATTTAAGCTACTGATTTAATATTTTCTTATCACTTCTACGTAAGTGATTCTAATAATTGTTTTAGTTATAACAAAACTGATGAGAATGTTATTTTTATTCACATATCTTTAATTGAATTTCAATTTAATAAAGAGATATTCGGTTGATTTTTTTAGAAACAAAAACAAAACTAATTAAATAAGAGAAACCATATCCAATACATAAATTAGAAAACAAATTACATCCGTAGTGCAAATTCATAAAACATAAATAAAGCATAGTTGCTAAGAAATATTGGTAAACTAATGTTGATCATGATCACCAGAACTGTTTCCAGCGTTTGAGTTAGCATTGGCATCATCATTTATTGCCTGAGAAATGAAAAAAAAAACTGATTAGTTTATGGAGAACCAATAGAATTTGCTACAAAAGCCGGCTAACGGCACAATGTCGACCTCAATCTCATTTAAAAGCTGTGAAAGATAATTATCCTTACTTTGGCTTATATTTTTTTCTATTGTCTATGAAATTAATATATAAGAACCACTTACCTGATTAGCATTAGTCGGATTAAGGGTGTTTGCAAACGTTGGATTTGGTATGTTTGTAAAAGCCGCAGCAAAATTTGTAGCCCATGCTCTTGCCTAAATATACCATAATATATTAGTTTTATATACAAAGTATAATTATGCAATTTAACTTAGAAACTATCATTATATTAATACCTGATCAGCGGTTGAAGTACCAATTATTTTTTGGACGAAGGTAGTCAATCCGTTAACTTGATCTGATAATTGCTTCACTTGTGTTTTCAGCTCAACGACCATTTCAGAATTTTCTATCTCTGCTATAGATGTAGTTGAGCGTTTCACTAGTTTTGAAGGTGTGGGTCCACGACCAACACAACGTACTCGTCCTGGACGCTCTGGACCAAACACTTGAGCAAATTCATCATCCAAGCTAGTTGTAACATTGTTTGTGCTGTGTGGATTTTGACTCATCAAAGTTCTAAGTGCTTCCTATAAAAAGCAAGAAAAATATAAATAAATGTTCGTCATAATAACTATTGATGGAAAATGACAACTTTCTTCAGATTTAAGAATAATAAAAATTATAGGTGAGTTTATATAAAACTAACCGCGCGTGTTTTAGCCTCCTCACATACAAAGGTTCCATCAGATTTCATGCGAGTCTCAATGAAAAGTTCTGCTCGGCATGGATTTTTTCCGGTCTTGTTTTTCTTCATAACAGATAAATGCATAAATAGTATACGTTAATATCAGTATACTAAACTAGTTTTATAATACAACTAAGTTACTTACAATCTCATCTCTTCTCCTTGAAAAGCTCTTTCTTCAACATACGTGAGGCATGGTATGTTTTTTTTTTGTTCTTTCTATTCCGCTCTTGCATATTCTGAAAGCTCACATAAAAAGAATTACTTGCATTAGATATGAAGAGATACAACTATATAAAAATATCCAACGAATAATCTATACCTTCCATTTTTCAGCAAACCTCATGTGAACTAAATGAACCCATTGATCTTCAGGAACACTAGTAGGTCGATTCTCCAACGTTTCACTTAGACTATTTCGTTTGTATTCATTCCAAAGACGTAGCTTGACATCCTTGCATCTGCTACCTAGTGCACTCATCACATATCCTTTTCTCAGTGTCGGATCATCAAACCAGAATTTTGACTGCAATGACATCACATACAACGTTCATCAAACCATAATCTTGTCTTACAACATCGCTTTATTTAAAAAAAAATTACATAAACGAATAGATGTTATATAAAAGTTACCTGAATTACATCCCATGCCTTGCTTTTAGTGTGAGGATTAACCAACCTCCAATCGCTGTAGTTGATGGGTAGCAAATTTATATCATGGCTTAATTGACCTATCCATGATCCAAGTAAACCACCAGAATCTCCAATTGGCTGACCGCTTTCTCCGTCGAAATGCACAATCACTTTGCTGTTTTGAAATTTCCAGACATCTTTACATGTCACCATTTTACCTTCTATGTTTCCATCATTATCTTGTTGATAAACACATATGTCAGAAACAATTCGATTAGTATATAGTAAATTAAAGTAACATATATAACATTTATTTGAGTATTAAATTAACATATATAAGATTTCTACGTATAAGCAGAGCTACAATTAGAAGTTAATATGCTAAAGAATATGCGATCTAAGAATTTTTTTTTGTTTAACTATGTAATTCATTCATCCTTGATATAAAAAAATAATTACAAAGAATAGGAAGCTAAAACTCTGAAAAGAATTCAAACTCAAAACAACGCCCTGAGATGAAACAAAGAATTAATAAATGTGAAGAATAGAAGGAACATATCATGGTTTCACGAGAAGCATAGCAAATGGTCACTTGATCGGTAATTCATTTAGAGGGATATTAACGGTGCAGAATCATGAATTTTACTATAAACCAACGTTGCAGCAACAGATACAACGTTGCAGCAACAGGCGGAGCAAGTCTCAATCAATCTTTAATAACATTCAAAAAATCAATTTTAATTATTACCTATGACTTGTGTTTTACATTTGAAGCTTTTACATTCTGGAGCAAGTGGAGGAGGCATGTTGTAATCTTCCAAAGCTGGTGAATCATCAGGTGGTTGTGTCTCTGAATCCATGGAATCCATGATCGATCCTAAACTAGGTAAAAAAATAGTTACTACTACAGAACTAAAAACTGATTTGCAGGATACGTAAGATTCACAGATTCATAAAACAAGCTTTAAAATTTCAAACCAATTTGAAGGAGAAACTGTGTAGACGATGTTCGGCTCTTCACAAGTGTCGTACGTTTGTTTTTAGGAATTAGGTTTTTTTTTTTTCTACAGCAAATATGTTTTTAAATTGTTTAGTGTCAAATGTATTAACTGATGCAAACTAAAAAAAAAACAATATCATTTTATTAAATTGATGTTAAAGACGAACATTGTTACATTAGTTTTAATAAGTGAAGCTAATTTGCATAATTATGTTTATATTATTAATATAATTTTTATTGGCATCAGTTTTTATTGATGTAAATTTTGCAACGCTTTTGTAAGTAATGTCAACAAAAAATAATAAATACATCAATTAGGCAATCGATGTAAATTTATACTTTAATATCAATTTTGTAAAAGTGATACAAACTTCTAAAAACTGTATCAGTTTTATAGAATTGATGCCAAACTAGTTAATTACAACATCAATTATTACAATTGATGCAAAACCATATCTATTTATTTCACTTATCAATAATTGATTTAAAATAGCATCATTTAGTTTTGTGATATAATTTATATGATGCAAAATGACCTTTTTTGTAGTGGAAGATTCGAGTTACCAAAAAGTATCCGTCAGTTTTGGGAAAGGATGAACTCGAATTCTCCCCTTTTCTCGTTTTTGAACTTTAGTCCTTGGACTTTTTTCTATTTATAGATTCTGCTTCAAACTTCTGAATAGATCAGAAATCCCCCTGAAACAGATAGTTTCAAAATGATCAGTTTAACCCAAAATCTGCTTCCATATTTCTTTTAATTATGGGTGTTACATAGATAGTAAGTTGGTGTGTAAATACTTTAAATTATCCTAAATATAAAATAAAAATTCTTGATTTTGAAATTTATGGAAAAAGATAAAATTGTTTAGGTTTAGATTTAGATTAGATATGAATTGTTACCTTTATGAGTTTGTTAACTAGATAAAATCACTAACTATTCGGTGAATATTTTTATTAGTTAATTTCCAAATATTTATTAAAAAGACAATTGTGGCGGTTCAGAGAAAGAAGTAAGCTAAAAATATTGTTCTTAACAACATAATTTTGATTCACTTCTAAAAAGCCTGATGAAAGAGTTTTTGATAAACGTATAAATCATTTGCTGATTGATGAGTTTGGCAATAACAATGATAACAAAAATGAAGAAGCAATATTGCCGGTTGTCTACAGCCTGATGAAAGAGCTTTGGTTACGTAGAAATCATCTTCTTATTGATGAGTTTCGTTAAAACCGTGATAACAAAAAAACATGCAAAATTGACTGTTTTCTACAGTCTGATGAAAGAGATCTTATTAAATGTAGAAATCTTCAGCTGATTGATGAGTTAAACTATAACAATGACGAGAAAAAATGAGCAAAATTGACTGTTTTCTGCAGCGTGATGAAAGAACTTTTGATAAACATTGAAATATTTGGCTGATTGTTGATTTGGGTTATAACCATGATAACAGAAAAAGGAGCAAAATTGACGGTTTTCTACACCTTCATGGAAAATCTCATGATAAACGTAAAAATCATTTGTTGATTTATGAGTTTGGCTATAACTATGATAACAGAAAAAAAAAAATAGCAAAATTGACGGTTTTCTGCATTCTGATGAAAGTGCTCTTGATAAACGTAGAAATCATTTGCTAATTGAAAAGTTTGACTATAACTATGATAAGAAAAAAATGAGCAAAATTGACTGTTTTCAGCTATCTCATGAAAGACATCTTGATATACATAAAAATTATTTTTTGATTGATGAGATTGGTTATAACTATCATAAATATAGAAAACATTTGTTGATTGTTGAGTTTGGCTATAACTCTGATAAAAGAAAAAAGGGAGCAAAATTGACGATTTCTGGAGCCTCATGAAAGAGCTTTGAATAAACGTAAGAAGTCATTTCCTGATTTATGAGTTTGGCTATGACCATGATAACAAAAAAAAAAACAATTGACGATTTTCTAGAGTCTCATGAAAAAACTCTTGATAAACGTAAAAATCATTTGTTGATTTATAAGTTTTGTTATAACCATGATAACAAAAAATAAGCAAAATTGACGGTTTTCTACAGTCTGCTGAACGAGCTCTTGATAAACATAGAAATTATATGCTAATTAAAGATTTTGGCTATAACAATGACGAAAGAGCTCTTGATAAACGTAAAGATCATTTGGTGATTGATGAGTTTGGCTAAAACTATGATTACGGGAAAAAGAGCAAATTTAACAGTTTTATGCAGTCTGATGAAAGAACTCTTGATAAACATAGAAATCATTTGATGATTGATGAGTTTGGCTAAAACAATGATGACGCAAAAAAGAATGAAAAATTGACAGTTTTCTTTAGTCTCATAAAAAAGCTATTGGTTAACCTAAAATCATTTGCTGATTGAAGTCTGGCTATAACCATGGTAACAAAAAAATAAAGAGCAAAATATACGGTTTTCAACAGCCTGGTGAAAGAGATCTTTATATACAAATCATTTGTTGATTGTTGAGTTTGGCTATAATCATCATAACAAAAAAATAGGGACCAAAATAGACGATTTTCTGCAGTTTGATGAAAGATCTCTTGATAAACGTAGAAATCATTTGCTTTTTAAAGAGTTTGGATATAAGTATGATAATAGAAAAATTAAAGGATCGTGAGAGGTTGCCCCTCATGTTAAGCGAGGAGCAAAAAGCTGTGTATGACGAAGTTTTTGATGCAGTTATAACCGATAAAGTGGGTTGTTTTTCTTATATGCGTATGGAGGGACTGGGAAAATTTACGTGTGAAATATTTTATCTACTACTCTTAGGTCCTTAGTCTTTTATTTTTAATGTTGCATTAAGCATAATAACTTCCCTGTTGATGCCTGGAGGTCGAACGGTTCATTCAAGATTGTAAGTCACTATCTTTTTATCATAGTTATATCAGAATATAGAGTCTCATTACTTCTTAAAACCTTTAAATTAGGTGTATCCATCTAGAGTGTCGTTTGACGGGTGATCTTGCAGTCGAGTTCAACAATTTATGGAACCGTCGTTCGGATAACACAGTGATATGTATTATCAAGTTTGTGAAAATAGAGCTATCGCATGAACATAGGTGGAGATGTACCAATGATACCGAATGTACGGGGGTTATGTTGAATCCGGATCTCAGTATTACCGACGAGATGCTTTGTTGGTAATTATTTTTTTGTTTTTTTCGTTTACATTCAAAACTCTAAAATTGGCGACTGTACATTAACTGTTTATGATGGTATTAATCGGATGTCAGGAATCCTGAAAACGACCAAGTACCTATCGTCACACGCAAAGAGAATGCTATGGAGTGATGACGTTCGTTGTTTTCTTATTGTCTTAGTATTTCTTTTTTTTTTTTTTTTAAAAAAAAATTGATTAGCGTCTTATTTTCTTAGCATTTATAATATCACTTTTTCATCATCTATAACATTTCCTAATTAATCTGTCATGATTTTGCCATTTATACATGATTCTTTGCGCGGACAGTCACCTAGTATAATATGAAATGGAAAAGGTGTTAAATACTCTTAATATACGAGAATGTCCTCCATTTCATGAAATTGTTGCTATGCTTGTTAGTTGAATGATTTACCATCACTATCTAAACAATCTTGTTAGCAAAAAGACGAACAATGCTAAACAGAAAAGAAAACAAGGATCGTAGAAGAAGACGCAAAGATTAAAGATGGATTTGTAAAACTTAAGAGAAACTTCCTCTAGTACTGCTTTCTCTTGTTTAAGATATCACTCATCTTTACGTCATTTTCTAGGTTTCCTCAAACAATTTTGAGCGAAGAGTTTCAATAAAAAATGATTTGAAAATTAAAAAAAATAGAAATCGCCCCCTAAGTGCGGTGGTGGAGGGGGAGAGAATGTGGGGTTGCAAGAAGCCATAAATGTGATGACACATCGATTTCATGATAACTCCTTGTAACACATCACATTAGCTATTCAACACCGCTTCACTCCAAAACAATCTTCAACCGATCTTCAGATTTTTTTTTTCATAATAATAAGGTGAAAAATATTTGATTCTTTCTTTCTTAATAGAAGCACCAGCCTCAATAAATAGAAAATTAACTAGTTAGTACACCTGAATAAGTCGAGATCTTAATTCTTTCTACTGGAATACTTGATTAATAAAATAACGTGGTTTATTTATTTTTAATGAATCCCAATGTCTTAAAGTTAGTTTTTGTTATTGAGTTTTATAGTAAGACAACGATTAAAAGAATAGATCAATATTTCAAATATATAGTGTAAATATATGGTTGGATTATTTTTTTAACACTCTCTTTGAACTTTTAAAAGGGGATATTTAGGGGAATTAGGTATTAGAAGGAGATCTTAATTTAGGGAAACTAAATGTATGATGTATCTCAATGTTGAAATAAAAAGACAATAATAACATTTATATGTGTGGTTTAAAGCGTTTTAGTCAAACTTATCACAAAGTTTTTGTTTTTTTTTCTTGTAAAATTTGTTTTGTCTTTTCGTTTTAATTTTAGTTTTTTTTTTGTCACAAACTTATCAGAAGATTTAAATTGATTTCTACCGATGAAATATAATATTATTTGTATACGCAATAATTTGGTTACTCGTAGGTCTCCCACTTTTCAGATGTTTAGATGTCTCTCTCTCTATCAAACCCTAATGTTCATCCAATCAGTTGTCCAAACAAAAAGAAGTGAACTCTAACAAACCCTAATGTCTAATCAGCCGTCCAAACTAAAAGAGGTAACTGAACAATTTAGCTCATTCCCAACTAAACCTGAAATATATCAAAAAGTTTAATTTCCAATGAAAGCAAATAAAAAACAGTGGCAACTTGCTTTCATGCTGGTCCCAGCTTTTGCATCCTTCCGTAGCCACACTACTGTTCTTCTTTTCTTTCCTCTTTCCCCATTTCTATGAAATATTTGTATTGATTTACTAACATATGTGTGCATCCTCCTCACTTTTATTTTAGTTGATTTAGGC